CAGAGGGACAGACCCGGAGAGAGCTCACACTACAGGACAGACAGACCCACAGAGAGCTCACACCACAGGGCAGAGGGACAGACCCGGAGAGAGCTCACACTACAGGACAGACAGACCCGGAGAGAGCTCACACTACAGGACAGACAGACCCACAGAGAGCTCACACTACAGGACAGACAGACCCAGAGAGAGCTCACACCACAGGGCAGAGGGACAGACCCGGAGAGAGCTCACACTACAGGACAGACAGACCTGGAGACAGCTCACACTACAGGACAGACAGACCTGGAGACAGCTCACACTACAGGACAGACAGACCCACAGAGAGCTCACACTACAGGACAGACAGACCCACAGAGAGCTCACACTACAGGACAGAGGGGCAGATCATTAGCAGATTTTAAAAAATCATTACGGATATGGACACACACACACACACTCTGAAGAAAACGAGGCAGGGTGATGTTTCAGAGTGAACTGAAGTCCAAAGGTTTTGCTTCCTTAGTTTCTGGGGCCCCGAGATTCTGTGTTTTTAACAAGACCCTCCAGCTGGGCACTCTGAGGCGTGCGGTCTCTGGGCCCCACTTTGAGAAACACAGGCCGAAAGAAGTCAGATCTATCTGGTGCTGAGCATTTTACAGGGTAATGTGCTTTATGTCCTCGCCAACCCTGTGGTCCAGGAGTGCTTATAACTGGTGTTCTAGAAGAAGAGACTGGGGCGTGGAGAGGAGAGATCACCGGCCCAGTTTCCACGTTTTTTCCTGTGCGGCTGGGTGGGAATCTGGATCCCACACACGGGCCGACTGCAAAGCCTGGCAGAGCTCGGCCTCTGGGCACCGTCCCTTCTCCCGCCACCGCCACCCCCCCCCCAGCCCTGCACACACCCCGCCCTGCCCCCCTCCGTTTCCATGGCAACAGCCTGAGCCGCCTCCTTCCTCACACAGGTGGGAGTCCCTGTGAAGGGAAGAAGGGCGAGGGTGTCTTTGTCACCGGGCTGCTGTCTCAGAATTACACAGATGGGGCGGTTTGCATCTCGCAGTCTGGAGGCTCAAGTCCAAGAACAAGGCGCTGGCAGGTTTGGTGTTTAGTGAGAACCTGCTTTCCGGTTCACAGACTGCGTCTTCTCTGTGTTCTCGCGTGGGGGCACTGGTCCCCGTGTGAGGGCTCACCTTCGAGAGCCATCACCTGCGGGTTAGAGTTCAACAAATGAGTATGGGACACACAGACATTCTGTCCGTTGCAGGCACGGATGCCAGACCAGTGTGGCTGGCAAAGGAAGGGCTGAGCGAGGGCTCCAGCCTCCAGTTGCCCCAAGAAGTCTGTCAGGTACGTTTTTGCCGGGATTAAAGTGGAAACTTGAGAGTCCTCATACAAGGACGAAGAAAGAGAATGGCTCTGTGGTCTTTTGCAGGCGCCTACAGAAACCCCAGGTTCTAGTCAGCACTGTTGAAAGAGCCAGTGGCTGGAGGTATAATTATTGATATGATTAAAAATAAAGCGTATGATGGGATATTAGTCAGGAGAAAGGAGAGAGTCTTGCCATTTGTAGCAACGCAGAAGAACTTAGTGTTATGCTAAGTGAGAAAAGTCAGACAAAGGCAAACACCACAAAATCTCACTTATGTGGAATATTTAAAAAGAAGAAGCGGGGAGGAAGAGGAGGAGGGGAAGGAAGAGGGAGGAAGGAGAGGAGAGGCAGGAGGGAGAGGAGGGGGAGGAGGAGGAAGGAGAAGGAGAAGGAGAAGAAAGAGTCAAACTCACAGAATGGTGGTTACCAGGGGCTGGAGGTGGGGGAAACGGGCAGATGTTGGTCAGAGGGTAAGTGCCTTCAGTCTTAAGGTGAATAAGTTCTGGGGATCTAATGTACAGCATGGTGATATTGGGGAAGAAAATTTTTTTCTACCCTTCAAGATTCTTCCAGCTGGTTTGAGAATGGAATTGACATGAGTCAAAGGAGGAAAAAACACGAAGTTTAATTATGTGCACACAGAGGAGGCCCAGTCATGAAACTGAGACCTCCCCCCAAAAATGACCAAAACAAGCGGTTTTTATGCTTTTTAGGCAAAGTGACAATAAATCTGTGGGGAATCGGCAGGACCGAGAAAACTTATGTTTGGGAGTTTCAATTAGTAAGGGATTCTAAACAGGATTTGAGCTGAGGTAGTAAATTAGGAAAAAGTAATAAGGGAGGTTTATATACAGACTTCTTGGCTCTACGTTTTCTAACTCTGGTGATAAGGATGTCTCTTTACCCCCTGGCAGACGGAGGGTACCTTTCACATGAGAGATTTATTTCCTGTTTTCTGGAGATAGAGGGAGGTCAGAGTGTTTGGGCTTTTTTTGTTTTTTACACCTGCTGTTGCTTAAGAACTTTTAACTTAGAATAATCAATATGCCGCGCACCTGGGCAGTCAGTCAAGGAAGCGTCTGGCTTCGGCTCGGGTAATGATCTCATGGTGTGTAAGTTTCAGCGCTGCACTGGGCTCTCTGCTGACAGCCTGGGGCCTGCTTCGGACTGTGTGTGTGTGTGTATCTGTGTGTGTGTGTCTCTCTCTGCCCCTCCCTCACTCGCACTCTCTCGGTGTCTCAAAATAAATGAAAACATTAAAATAAAACAAAACTATAAATCTAGAGGGAAAATTACTATAAATCAGAGCATCTGACTGGCTCAGTCGGAAGAGCATGTGACTCTCGGTCCTGGGGTTGTAAGTTCAAGCCCCACGTTGGGTATAGACGTCACAAAAAAATAAATAGATACACTTGAAACAACGACCATGATAAAATTATCAGCCTGAGACCGGCTCACAATTGAGTGAGAGCTGCAAAGGCCTGGGGGTTGGGCGTCTGGGCAGCAAGAGCTGATAGAGCAGCTGTACCAACCGCTCCCAGCTGGAGCCTAGGTCATTGGTCAGGGTCTCCTTGGGATTGGCCGGCGCCCTATCAGTTAAATACTCGGAATATCTACCGTGCCTGTCAGAGTTGGGCACAGGGAGCAGGAGCACAGGGACGAGTCAAGCTGGAGGAGGGAAGGAAGGGGTGGTCGGGGGGGGGGGGGGGGCAGTGGGAGAAATGCCAGACTGTAACGTGGGGTTTCTCAGCTTGGGCACAACTGGCATTTGAAGGTTGGCAATTCCTTGTTGTAGCCGGATGTTCTGTGTCCTGGCTTCTACCCACTAGATGCCAATAGCACCACCTCCTACCACGCACCCGCACCAGTCGTGACAACAACCAAAATGTCTCAGGACATCTGCAAACGTCCACTAGGAGGCAGAGTCACCTCTGGTTGAGAACCCCTGCTCTAAACGGAAGGACTCAGCCTTGAGCCTGCGACAGAATCCCAGGGAGGTGGTGGGGGAAGGGGGCGGGGGCGCGTCTGGGCCCCACCTCTCGAGTTTCTGGTTTAGGAGGTCTGGGAGCCATAGCTGGAGAAGCCCCTGCTCTAAATAAGCAAGATTTCTCTGACTCTTCTTTGGCTTTTCTGCCCCTTCCCCTCCTCCTCCCTCTCCTCCCCCCCCCCCCCCCCCCCCCCCCCCTTCTTTTTTTTTTTTTTTTTTGACGTAAAGATTTATTTCACGTTGCAGGGAAATATTAACGCCATCAACACACGTGGGAGTGAGTGGCGAGCCCAGCGGGACGTTTGCATTGTGTTAAGCCTTAAGGTACGTGAAGCCCATGAGGGAGCAATGACTCTGCATTCCTAGGGACACAAAGGCGTCCTTGGGTTTGTTTCGGGACTTTGCTGTGCACCTGCGAGCGTGTGCCTGTAAATTCCTGTGGCAGTTGCTAAGTGTTGCCACTAGATGGCGCTGGAAGCCAAGTAATAAAATGGTCGCTCCCGCCCAATCTCCGCAGAAACTAGATTCTGGCTGGGGGCGGGGGGGGGGGGGGGAGTGCCTTTTTAAGGAGACATTCCCCGTTTAAATCAAGAACACCCAGTATTGAGACACTCCAGTTCCACCGCCGCAAGGTTTTCCACATTATCCAGCTCTGCCTGACAGCTTTTCTTTAAATAGATTTTTTTAAAGACTTTATTTTTTGAGTAATGTCTACACTCAGTGCGCGGCTTGAACTCACAACCCTGAGATCAAAGGTCGCGACTGAGCCAGCCAGGCGCCCCTCTTTAAGTAGATTTCAATGCATTTTCAAATATAGACATTTTAATGCAAGCTGTACATCACTTTCAGTGGGGAGCTGACAGCGCCTCTGAGAAATACAAGATTAAAGCCAGAAAGAGGGGGTGAGGAAGGGAGGGGGAGAGGGAGGGGGAGGGGAGCATGCTATTAGAAGATTCCCAGAAAGGGGCCATTTTCCTTCGGCACTGTCCTTGAAAGGGAATAATAACAAGTAAATGGAAAATAATACTAAGTGGGTAATTATTAGACATTTTAACAACATACTGACACCAACTTGAGCCTTCTTTTTGATGCAGTTAATATGATTTAATAATACTATATGGTTTGTCCGTATATGGCCTTAAGCTGGCTTTCATGCTGGGGCACCTGAGTGGCTCAGTTGGTCGAGTGTCTGCCTCTTGATTTCAGCTCAGGTCATGATCCCATGGTTCCTGGGTTTGAGCCTTATGTCAGGCTCTGCACTGACAGTGTGGAGCCTGCTTGGGATTTCTCTCTCTCTCTCTCTCTCTCTCTCTCTCTCTCTCCCTCTCTTCCTCTCCTCCTCCTCCTCCTCCTCCTCCTCCTCCTCCTCCCCTGCTTGTGCTCACGTGCTCGCTCGCGCTCTCTCTCTCTCTCTCTCTCAAATAAATAAACTTAAAAGGTCCATACAAGAGATGATCGGAACTTGGTAATGGAAAGCGAGAGGGGGTGCCTAACAAGAGAGGAGCTTTGAGGGAGAATAACCAGCACTTTCTGGCAGTGAGGAAGTAGCGTGTGGGAGAAGCCAAGGTTAAGGCGCAGGGTCCTATCCCCGGCCTCGGGTACGATGGACAGAACAGAACGGGGACCCTGCAGGTTATAGGGTGTGCACTAGGGGTGTTCTGTGGTATCAGAACTAGTCTGCTTTTTTAATGTTCTGGAACATTTCTATTAACTACATGTTTCTCAAGTATTTGAAAATTTTACCCAAAGAACTCTGCTCAGCCTTTCCTAGAAAAGCACTCATCTGAGGTTTTCAAATATATTACCATAAATTAGCATACACTGTCTTTCAAATATATTACCATAAATTAGCATACCCTGGGAACTTAATGGGTGTATGTGGCTGCTTCTTGGTCATTCAAGACTCTGATCCTGTGTGTGTTCTGTCTTTTTTCCCTCGTTAGGCTTGCCGACTCTTGGACTACTTTCGAGGTTCAGTCTCTGATATTTGTATATCCATGCCTCTTCTTTTCTATCTTCTGCTTACCTGATTGCTGCTTTTATACTTATTGGTGACGTTTGCCTTATATTTTCTTCCCAGATTAAAAAAAATTTTTACAACGTTACAAAGTTGACCTACAATAGATGAGTCATACTTAAAGCAAACAATTTGATGCTTTGTGATAGATGTATACCTGTGAAACCGTCCCCACCATCAAGACAGTGAACCTATCCACCACTTCCAAAAGTTTCCTTCTGCCCCTTTTTAAAAGTCCCCCGCCATGTGCCCTGTTGCTACAGATTCGTTTGCATTTTCTAAAGTATTATATAAGTGCGATCATACAATATTTACATTTTTGTGTCTGGCTTCTTTTCTGCATCCTATGATTTTGAGATTCATCCATGTTGCTGTAAGTAACAGTGGTTCATTCCTCTTTTTGCTGAAGGAGTATTTCCTTGATGGCTATACCACAATTTATTTGTCCATTCGCCAGTTGATTGCCATTGGGTTTGTTTCTAGTTTCTTGTAACTGTTCTTGTTCTGAGTCTGTAAGGGGGAAAAGGTGGATGTAGTGGGACTTGTGTAAAATCCAAGGGAGAGAAAATGGTGGTTCAGATCAAGAGCAGTGTGGAAAAGTGATCAGATTCTGGATATTTTGAAAACGGAGCCACTGGATTGCTGACCAGTTCAAGGAGAATATAAGATTGCGCAAATTTTCCATTAGAACTCCTTTCTCTTTGGATAGGATAGAATTGGATAGAATTGACCCTACACCTAAGAATGTTCTTTTCTCTTTTTGACTTTTAAAAATTTATTTAAATTGAAGTTAGTTAACATAAAGTGTAGTATTGGTTTCGGGAGTAGAACCCAGTGATTCATCTGTTTCGTGTAACACCCAGTGCTCATCCCAACAAGTGCCCTCCTTGACACCCATCGTCCATTTAGCCCATCCCCCCTCCACCTGCCCTCCAGCAACCCCCAGTTTTTTCTCTGCACTTAAGAGTCTCTTATGGTTTGCCTCCCTCTCTGATTAACTCTAAGAATGTTCTTGTGTCTAACTAGTCAGTGCACCCCCCCCCCCCTCCATTGCAACCACCAAAGTTGGTACATATCCCACGCAGAGCCAGTGAGAACACAGGAGACATTTACTAGGGTTTCTGGAAAATAGATGCTTGCTCTCTTGTCCCCTAGATAATATGGTATGTTGCTGCTCGGAAGATAGAGCCTGGGGCACATGGAAGACCACCAGGTAGAGACTGAGGATCAAGTCAACATACTACAAGTAGCATGGACAGATAGAGAAACTGGGTTACTGTCAACATTATTTAAGCTGCTGGATAGAGCCTCGCCTGATTCCCACCTATCAGCCCTCCCTCTGACATCTCTATTACGTGCACCCATGAATTCCTATTATTGTTTAAGCCAGTCTGAGCTCACTTAGGAGACACTGAACAAAGGAGGTGGTGCTCTGGATGAGCAGTGTGTCCTGAGGTGATAGAGTTGCAGGCCAGGCCAGCAGCTGTTCACGGGTGATGCGAGAGAAGGAGGATCCATGAGAGTGCTCCCAGCTATCTGGTTTTACAACCCACTGAAGGGAGGAGGAGACAGGAGAGTCCTGCGGTAAATATTGGATTCTTGAAATTTAGGTGCCGCTCAAATAGCCGGAGAGATGTGGTATTTGAACGCATGGATGTGTATGTGTGTATTATGCGCTCAAACAGCACATCTCTCTGGCTATTGGGGGTATTTTGGCTTCAAATCTCTATCTATCTATGAGATATATTATATTATATATATATTATATATATTATATATTATATATAAATGTGTATATATTATATATATTATATATTATATATAAATATAAATTATATTATATATAAAATGTGACATTTTAATCACAGATATATATATAGAATTTTATATACATAGGAGCACCTGGGTGGCTCAGTCTGTTGAGTGTCCGACTTTGGCTCAGGTCGTGATCTCGCGGTCTGTGAACTTGAGCCCCACGTCAGGTTGTGTGCTGTCCGTGAAGAACCTGCTTCAGATCCTGTCTCCCTCTTTCTGCCCCTCCTCCACTTGCACACTCTCTCTCCCAAAAATAAATAAACAGTAAAAGAACTTATTTATGTATATATTATATATAAAATTATATATATAATATGCGTTATATAAAATGTGCATGTTTGTATGTGTAGGGGGGCGTAAAAATTGCCAAAAGCTGTTTTCTTATTTTTTTTAACGTTTTTATTTATTTTTGAGACAGACAGAGACAGAGCATGAACGGGGGAGGGGCAGAGAGAGAGGGAGACACAGAATCGGAAACAGGCTCCAGGCTCCGAGCCATCAGCCCAGAGCCCGACGCGGGGCTCGAACTCACGGACCGCGAGATCGTGACCTGGCTGAAGTCGGACGCTTAACCGACTGCGCCACCCAGGCGCCCCTCTTATTTTTTATTTTAAGAGAGAAAGCACAAGTGGGGGAGGGAGAGAGAGAAAGAATCCCAAGCAGGCCCCACACTATCAGTGCAGAACCCAGCCACTGGGCTTGAACTCACAAACCACGAGACGCTTAACCGACTGAGCCACCCAGGCACCCCTGCAAAAGCTATTTTATGTAAAATAATATTGGTAAATATTTTATTATGTGCAAATCTTGTCTTCCCCACAAGAACCCAACTTTGTTCTTTTGCCTCTCTCTCTGCACTGAGCAGTGAACAGACGGCCCGACAGTGATGGGCACAGGTGGCTGAACCACTGAAAGGTGTGTTCTTTCTGGGTCGTGTCCTACCATGGGCTGCTAGGAAAATATTGAGGCCTAGGAAGCTTGAAAGCTCCAAGATGAAAAGAAATCCTCGATCTGGGAGCCAAGGTGGGATTTGGGTGAAGATAAGGAAGAGCCCTACTTACTGGGAAACCAGTGAGTCCAGAGCCCGTAAACCAAGCTGCTCCTGGGATTTAGAATAAATGTGTGCAAATTAGGGGAAAAGTACCTTCTGGTCAGACAGACCCAAAGATTCATGGCTGGGCTTATGGATGACACTTTTGTGGGAAGAAAAGGACAATCCCTTCCTCCAGGCACAGTGAGCAGGAAAGTAGTGACCATGGCATGGTGAGTAGACAGAGGGCTGGATTTCCTACTTCTGTCCCGGGCAGGAGCTTTTGTGCAGTACACAGACTGCACAACTGTACATGGCGGCCATGCCAGAGAGGACTCATTTCTTTATTGTGTTTTTTTTTTTAATTTTTTTTTCAATGTTTATTTATTTTTGGGACAGAGAGAGACAGAGCATGAACAGGGGAGGGGCAGAGAGAGAGGGAGACAGAGAATCGGAAACAGGCTCCAGGCTCTGAGCCATCAGCCCAGAGCCTGACGCGGGGCTCGAACTCCCGGACCGCGAGATCGTGACCTGGCTGAAGTCGGACGCTTAACCGACTGCGCCACCCAGGCGCCCCTCATTTCTTTATTGTTAACAGCGTAGGCTCTGAAGTCCTGTTGCCCGGTTTGAATCCCAGCTTTGCAGT